CCCCCGCCGTGCCCTCCGCGCCACCTCCCTGCGCAGCCGCTCCTTCAGGCGCTGTGCCGTGGGCTCCAGGCTGTGCTGTGGGGGGAGAGGGGGGGGACGGTGACCCACAGGGGGACGCAGGGACCCACAGAGGTGACAAAGTGACCCATGGGGGGGGGGGGGCGGCGGGCCAGGGACTCATGGGGGTGACACAGGAACCCATGGGGTGACCCAGGGACCCACTGAGGTGACCCAGGGACCCATGGGGGGACACAGGGACCCATAGGGACCCACTGAGGTGACACAGGGACCCATAGGGTGACATAGGGACCCATGGGGGTGACACAGGGACCCAAAGGGGGGGCACAGGGACCCATGGGGACCCACTGAGGTGACCCAGGGACCCATGGGGGGACACACGGACCCGTAGGGGGGACATAGGGACACAAGGGGACCCACTGAGGTGACAAAGTGACCCATAGGGGTGACACAGTGACCCATAGGGACCCATATGGGGGTGACATAGGGACCCCCTGCGGTGACCCAGTGACCCATGGAGGTGACACAGGGACCCAAAGGGGGGACACAGGGACCCATAGGGACCCACTGAGGTGACACAGGGACCCATGGGTGATGCAGGGACCCTAAGGGTGACATAGAGACCCAAAGGGACCCACGAGGGTGACCCAGAGACCCATGGAGGTGACCCAGGGACCCAAAGGGGGGGACACAGGGACCCAAAGGGGGGGACACAGGGACCCATGGGGACCCGCTGAGGTGACACAGGGACCCATGGGGGTGACAAAGGGACCCACAGAGTGACCCAGTTACCCATGGGGGTGACAGAGAGACCCATAGGGACCCATGAAGGTGACCCAGTGACCCATGGAGGTGACAAAGGGACCCATGGGGGTGACACAGGGACCCACAGGGTGACACAGGGACCCATGGGGACCCACTGAGGTGACACAGTGACCCACAGAGGTGACCCAGTGACCCAAAGGGCGACGCAGGGACCCATAGCGTGACATAGGGACCCAACGGGGGGGTGACTGGGGGACCCAAGGGGGGGGTGAGTTGGGGACCCA